TTGCCTTACGGCAGCAACAAAAGGTCAACTGTCCATGTTGCGTGCCGTCGTTGAGCGGTGGGGTCCAGAGTTCAGAGCTTTCGGGTGCGTGCTGGGAAAGGGCTGGGCGTGCCCCAGCGGCGTCATCGGCGTCTTCCTGGCTTCAATATCTGCAATATCTGCCAAACAACAGAGTATCACGGATCTCACGCTGCTGCTGGCATGCCTGAGACTGAGCCTGGCAGTCAATGGATCAGCTGGACACAAATGGAGATAAACAGTCAGTCTTCCACATGTGGGTCTCTTTTTGCATCCCTGTTTTGATGAAACCCTTTTGCTGTATGGGATATGCCGCATGCCGCATGCCCCTTACCAAATGAAGAGCCCAAAATCAGATGCTGTGCTACAAGTACGTCGCTGCGTGTCAAGCGTGCAGTTGGTCACCACTGAGGGGTGTTGCCCTCCACCTTTTCGTAGCCGCCAGAGTACCTCAGCTGCACGACACTGGAACACCGACAAACGAGCATCTCTCGAAACGACGTGATCTCTCGCTCTGGTCGCAAGGGTGAGGAAGTCACGATGTTAAAGGCATGCGTCATGAGCACGGTGTAATATGGCAGTATGGCATGAGTATGGCTTTCAGGCTTTCAGTCTGGCCTGTCAGCCCCGTAGCCCTGGCCTCAGGTTCAGGAAAGCTGAGGCCGCAAGCTCCAAGTTGAAGGGCGTTCGGGTTCCGGTTCCACCGGGCGTGAGGTTCCTTGGACAGGGCATTCTCAGGGGCCTTTGCAAACCAAATGGCGAGCTCAGAGCCGAACCTGCGAACCCCGAATCAAACGCCTAAAAAACCCAAGCGACTTTTCATCTAAAGCCAAATCCAAAGCCTCAAAACCCTCCACGACTACCTGAGTGCGGTGCCCCAAGCCCGGGGTGCCCGGGTTCAAGCCTGCCATGCTTCAAACTCTGTCCGGCACTAGCCCATGTGTGTGTTATTTCCGCTGTGCCTGGCGTCATCAGGCCCATACCGGGCGTCATGGCCTCGGTAAGCCGCTCTACCCTCCCAGGGTGCCCTAACGTGCAGGCTTCAAAGCGGGGTTGTTCGCTTCAGGAAGCGAACCCTTGTCGTCTTATCATGGAGGACCGACAAACAACCAAAAAATCAACTACATCAACTGAAGATGTAGAGAAACCAAGGCCCCCCTTTTCAACATCCTTGGACCAGCCATTCCTCCAAGGTGGCGGCTGCCACACCCAGGCCGGCTGGGGTGTGAGGCCTGGGCTCGCGGAAATTTTGGGCGGCGGTTTGAGCCAGTCCGTCACGGTTTGCCAAGTGCTGCTTTACAGGGCCGATCCCTTCATTCGATTCAGGGCTTTAGTGTGTTCTTGGGAGGGTTCAAAGTCTGGGGCCGAGGACCTTGCAAAGCAGAAACAAGCAGTCAATAGCACCCTCGAGAACCCGTAGCACGGGATTTGGGGATCGTGTCACTGCATGCAGTCCTTCGTGAGGAATCACAGCTTTGACGCGCCGTGAGAAAGCTGAGCGATACTCACCACTGGAGTCTGCATCCTGAACCCTTTCAGGCTCTGACTGGAATTGCGGCTGCTGGAAGGCCTGCCCAAGCGCCTGGCAGATGTAGACTGGGCTTGCAGCCTCAACATTCAGATTTGTATGTTCTTAGTTGCAGCAACCCGGCAGCCCCTTGGTGTTAGTCCAAGAAGCTCCCACGACCTTCAAAACCCCTAGAGCTACAGCTCAATCCGCATCTCTTCGGAGCCGACCTTAATCATGGCAGAATTGACATCCCTTAACGGAGAAAGATGGCGGTGTAGCTGGTTACTTGGCGGAACTCATTTTGCTCACCTAGTTTTCTTATTTGGTTCGACTCAGTGGCTCAAAATGTTAGCAGGCTTGGGCTTTGTTTGGGTTCCCTGGTAGCACACAAAAGGATGCTCGCGCCCCACAGCTCCTCGTACTTCTGCCGGATCTTTGCCACAAGGTCTGCAGGAGCCTTGAGATTGAGTTGGGGGAATGGGGTGCGGGGGCTGAGCAAGATGACCTTCCCGCATGAATGCGAACTGCTAACCCCTAAGCCGCCTTCAACTGTAGCACCTCACGGGCATGTCAAAGACACACTCTGAGCCCATTGCAATTTTGATGCCTTTGATAGCCATGCCATCACCTGAGGTTCGTCTTCGCACAGCTGCAGGATGCCATTCAAACTTCATCTGGACAACCGAAAACTCCACGGACCCAGGCCGCCGCCTCGCTCGAGCTTGGACCACTGTTTGTACTGCTCGAACACCTCTCTCCCCAGCTTCCTGTCTGAGCTGTTTGGACTATCGTAGTGTAAACATCTGAAGCACATTGGAGCAGGCTCACAATTTTCTTGAGTGACCCCACAGCCTCCCCAACAGCACAGATAGACAAGCACTGCAGGCCTTCGACCCCATCCCAAGAATCAACAAAATCCTGGTCCCAGCCTCTTCTCGTCCTCTCTTAGCAGGTGCCTCAGCTCCTGGTCGGCGAAGAGGCAAGTCCTGAGCCGCAACCCCCCAAACCTCCTGACCCTACTACACAAGACATCACAAGACCAACTCACAAGCAAAACAGAACAAAGCGATGCAAAGCGAAGTAAAACCAAACCAAACAAAAAAAGAACAGCTCACAGCAAGCACAGCTCAGCTTCCGATGCATATGATCTTGCGCTCAGCTCTGCCTAACACCTGCTTTTTTCCTTCGCGGAGAACGGAAAACCAATGAATTTGGTGAGATCCACCACAAACACCCAGGTGCGATCTAGCACAGGTACACGAAACTGCGTCCAGTTTCCCATCTTTTCCCATAGCTTCGTTGGCATGGTAGCGACGCCTTTCCAGGATGTTGATACCTGTGTACACATTCTTCCCACGGGGCAGGCAAAAAGAAAGTACACTTGTGGAGTTCTCCGATCCTTTGAGTGCGATGACAATTATGAGTAGTATGAAAGCTGCCGAATGTTTGTGAATATTTTGAAGGCTGAACATGCTTCATGGGAGAGTTCTTAAGTTTAGAGATGTTAAAAATACTCATGCATACGTAGCATTCTGATTCTCAAAACGCATCATACGACTGACAAATAGACATGTTACTGCATTGTGAGTATGAAAAGTATTCTTCTCGAAACACCGATTCTACACCTGTATTCGATGAGCTCTGAGAGCGCCGGCGTCTTCATGGCCAGGCGGATCACTGCAGAGAGCCGAGCCACCTTCTGTCGGGCCCACCAACTCGTTTAATGAAGGGGCAGGGCAAGTGGTGGTGGCAGGGATGTGGTAGGGTCTTGCGGGCTTGGAGTTTTTTCATTGAATGCGGGCAGTTCACTCGAGACATCCCGAGACCCAACGGGCTGAGTATGGTGGAAAGCTCCGGGACGCCCACCCAGTTCACACGGGAGATCTCGACGCCTGGATCACGCAGGCATATGCAGGCTCGAGCACCAGCGCAAGCTCAACTTCCACGCCACCAGCCGAGGCCCAGGCGGGAGGTCATGGTCGGCTTCCACTGGTACCTAGTTCGGCGTGGCCGGGGGGGTGGTGGTTCTGTTGTCAGGAAGGAGGCGTGACTCAGGTCCTCCATGCCTCAACGAAGTTTGAAGTCCGAGTGCTTATGGCAATATGGTCGTATGAGTATCCCATCTCCTTGCCTCTGCTTCAACTTCTTGAAGACCTCCGTCACACCTCATACTCACCATGTCTCCAGTTCAGGATCGGGAGGTCTCCCAGCTCAGAACACAGGGACGCGGTGGGGCGGGGGGGGGAAGGCCGCAACCTACAGTGAATCCTACACCAAAAAGACTTCATAAGACTTGTGCATCTGAGCACCGGGCCCTGACGGACACCAGCGAGGTCTTTGATCTCCACACTGCATGTAGGCTCAGCATCGGTGAGTTCGGTTCAGACACACACATATACACGCACGCGCGCACAGGGTTTAACGTTGAACCCTTGGACTCTGCAATCCCTTACATCCCCAGGTCCCCTCGAATACAGAACAAAGCTCGGGATAGGGAGCCTCATCCCACTCTCTGTCTGCAAGTCCCGCAGCTGCTTGCCTTCGAAGGTGGCTTAAAGGGCAAGGGGTAGCAAGGGAATGCAAGGGGTAGAAGCTGAGGTCGTGTCTCAGCGACTCTTTCGAGAGAGACGTACACCATCGTCAACACCCATGTCGGTAAAATTATTGCTTTTTGGGGTTCCGAAGGTTCCTTACATCCCTATAAGCCCACAGCGTGGTATCACGTCCCACACCGTAGCAATCTGTAGCACTTTGGCACTTTGTCTCAGCCAGGACAGGCCTCCCACAAGGTCGGCCTCTAAAAGGTATGGCCTGCACCAGCATGGAGGAGAGAAAATCCGGTTCCTCATCTGGGCCTTTCAACCATCTAGGTTTTTGGAGGTGTTCGATTCTATACATATTCTTATTTGTGCATTCATTGCTTGCTATATTTGTATACATACAAGGGTTTGGGCAGCAGAGGCTGCGCCTGTGATCCCAGCGCGTCAAGGCTTCAGCATGCCGAGCCCCAACGCCCCAAGAACCACAGCTCCAATCCTCTCCATGCCAATCCTCCAATCCTCTCCATCCCTAGGGCCTGCATAGGGGGGCGGAGGGGGGGGGGAGGCGGCGGGGGGTTTAATGCTGGACACCCCGAAGCAGGAACTCTGCCCGCCGCCTCAGGCGTTCCTCGAAGTTTAGGTAGGTTCGCAGCTGGCGGCCTCGCTATGCGCAGCTGGCATTCTGCCTTCTGACTTCATGTGTGGAATTCGTCATCGAAACTTCGCTTGCAAAATGCACGGCTGCAAATGTCACATCACCCAAAAACACAAGTAAGTTAAAGGGGACGAGTTTCGTGTTTTCGTGCGGAATCGTGTCACCTCACTCAAGCCGTTAGGGATTGAAAAAAAGAACAAGGCTTCAGCTTTAGAGATGCCACAAACCTGCAAGATCCGGCCACAGCTTGCGGTTGACGAGTTCCAGTCGAAAAGGTCTAGGTTGGGTCTAGGCAACAGCGCACCGGATGCACGACGTGCTCATTCCTGAACTTCTAGTACCTTCCATGCCGACCCAGTACGCCGGAATCCTGAAAAATCAAGGCGTTCATGAACCCTGACGTTCCCTGAAGGAATCTGGGATGGCAGCTCCGCTCATCTGGCGACTTCACCTCGCAGTGGATCCCCATAGTGGCCCATATATCGGCCCAACGGCACTCAAGGTAATCAGCTTTGCATCCCAAGGCGTACACAGTGCATGGTGTGAGCTAAAGCGGCTTTCGATTCGTCTTGTGCATGTGGCTCCAAGGAGATCAAGTCATCGCAAAAACACCAAGACCAAGTGCAAACGCACAAGAATCGGTTTCGTGTTTCGAGTGTCAGCATCAACGTGGTGTGTGTGTGTGTGTGTGCGAGAGTACGGATGCATGATGCAGGAGCCATGGTAAATGCCAAGGCCTGCCTCCAAGAATCAAACAGCAGCCGAATTGCCAATCTCAACCCTTCGCGCGTGCCCGCGAAATCACGGGAATCGCAGCCTTGAGCGACAGTCCATACCATTGGAGCTCGATGTCGCGCTCAATGCTGAGCATGATCTGGGCAATCAGTAGGCTGGATGTTTCTTTGTTGGTTACTTTCTTGTTGATTTACCCCGTACGAGTATGACGCGTAATATGCGGGGATTGTCTTGCTGCACTCCATCAACAGTTGTTTTGATGTCGAGGTATGTCGCGGTGCGAGGTGTGTCGGAAGTTGGATCTGAAGTACCTGCAACTGCACGCAACTGCCTGCCTGCAACTGCCGCTCCAAGGTCAGAGTATGGATCTGCATCAAGTGCTCCTGCGCACGATCCCCACATAAGCCCATACACTCGGAGCCGCTCCACCTGCGAAGCCAGAAGCAACACACACCGTCACCCCTTTTGCATGCAGTCCTCATTCGGGGCAATCCGCCACTCCTCAAGCGGTGTACCGGAATCAGCTTTGCACGTTGGGCCGGGGATTCAGTTCAAGGACCATGGACCCCGTCAACATCAGATCAAACAGCAGTGTGAACTTTCACAGAGTAGCCGCGGAGTCTAAGGCACCGGCCGTGCCCATGCGGTTCAATGAATCCTGGGCCAAGATGATGTCTCACGACATCACACGACAACTTAGGATGACCCTTGTTGCTTGATGCCACCCGGATCTAGACCACATCTTTGGTATGTGCAGTATGTGCCTTCGCCTTCACGGACAGCAAGCTCTGTGTGGCTCCGTACCCTTTTTTTCCCAGCCCTTGCCCTGGATGCAGAGGCCCTTCGGGCCACTTCGGGGCGCGGAGCCGTGGAAAATGGAACGGCCGACGCTCGCAAACCTCGGAAGCAACTGCACGGAGGCGGAATACATTGACAGTTCAGGGCGTCTGGAGCAAAATGGATGCGTCTTGCACGGCTGCCAAGTCACGTTCTTGAACGCTGCAGTGGTCTGTCCCTCGCTGCACCTGGTTGGGAAATGTTGGGAGTTTAGCCAAACACTTTTGCCCTGGCCATGCCCCAAAGCACAACCCAGCCTGCAGCTGAGCCTGGTGTGGCCGCACGCGAATCCACGGAAAAGCTGCGCGGCGTGCCCTGACGGCTGGAAGTCGGAAGTTGCGGCATGGAGACGCTGCCTGGCGTGGGCTCAAGCAGCGCGTCGTTCAACCATGACGGAAGCTGTCCAAATCAGGGGCCTGCAAGGCTGGCGAGCGTCCTCTGTATCAGCACACCATCCAAAGCATCTCTTGCTTTAGGATGGTCGGCTTGGTCGGCATGCCTGGGAAGGCTTAGTATGGCGCAGTGCAGTTCATCCCGCGTCTCCCTGGTTGCTCAACGTCCTCAGCGCCTCAACCCAAGATCGCTTCAAGTCACTCATTTCCCAAAAGCCTCTAGCTTCGGCCACGTGGCCGGGCCAGGCCATCACTGCAGCCTCCTGGGTTTCGGGGATGGGCACCTGAGGTTTGTGAGACAGGTGTGCTCGATTCACAAAACCTTCAAACCGAACACTGACATGGTCAAGCGCAGGCGTTGAACATCAAGGCTTCCGCCCCTCAAAACCAGGTCGAGATGCTGTCCGAGGGCATTCTTTGTTCAGCGCTTACCTGGGCTTGATAGAAAGAATCTATGTCTATGTATACACAGGTGTATGCATATATATACTAATACACAACCAACACATAAACAAAAACAAAGAAGAGCGTGTGTGTGTGTGTGTGTGTGCTTTGTGTGTATACACAGATACATATCAATGGGGGTTTTCAGGGTTTCAAGGCAGTTTGCATCTCGAGTCCCCTTTCTAAGCCTTTTCACTTTTGCATCCACCGAGGTCACGAGGCGCGCAAAAAGCGGAGAAACCGAAAAGAAATCCGAAAATATCCGGAGAAATCCTCCCCCCCCCACTGATCCAAACTCCTCCCATTTCTTTTGTCATTTTTGTTGTGTAGGGGGGGGGGGGGGGGTGGCCTCTGATAAGGAATATGTCTTGAACATGCAGTTGTTGGATGTTGGGTTGACATGGTTTGTAAGACTTCAAGTCCATGACTCTTTTGTCTTGGCAGCAAAGCGTGTTTGTTCCGTCCAAGACACCTCAGCTTCCTTAATCTCGGACTCGCGCATCACAACTCTTGGTTCTGGGGCCGTCAATTCTGACATGATGCTAATGATGTTGACGTGCGCTTCTGACCCTATCTAGCTTCTTTTGCATGTAACTGACGCCTCTCTTGAGTCTTGTGCTGCATATGGCTTGTTCCAAATCACATGTTTCCGGGCCTTCAACTTGCAAAGAGCGGAGGATATGCTCTCCAAGAGAGTCGCTCAAGTTCGGAGAAGTGCCTGCAAGTCACCTCGATTAAGTCGAAAACAAAGAAGCTGAGGTCGAAAACAGAGGACACCTTCGGGGGTTTAGGGTTCGGTAGAACTGGCCCATGACTTTAGAGTTTTCAGGAGAAAAGGCTGCTGCAGGTTTTGAAGATTCCTCTGATCCTCCCGCTTTTCAGACTCATGATGTCCTGCTCCCTGACTCGCGTGCTGTCCCGCTCTCTGACTCGGATATTTTTGTTGTCGGACTCGGTCCACTCTCGGCAGGCTCGCGTATCTTAATCTAGCTCAGGAGCTTCCAAGGGGGCCTTGTCGAAGCAGAAAGTTCCCCTGGACAGGGCTTTCAAGAAACACTGAGGAGCGACCACAAGAACAGCAACGGGTTGTGATGTTGTGGTGGGCGGGAAGTGCCATGAAAGGCCTGGACTCTGCCTGAAACCCTGTCAGAAACCCGCAAGCCAAGGCCTCTGGTCCAGCAACTGCATCAGAGCATCCCCGTCCCTTGCATCATCGCGGGCGCTCTTCTTCTCCTTGCGCCCAACGTTGAACAAAACAGACGCGCGCGTCAGTTAGCACGAGTGAGTCTCTCAACATCGCCCTCTCTGCCCGCGCTCTTGCGCTGCTTGCCTTGCCATTCTGGCACGCACTGTTTCCGGCATTTCCGGCCTGCCACCTTGGCTAGGCATTGCGGGGCATTTGCTCAATCTGCACGAGATTCTACGCGGATGCTACTGCACGAAATCGTCACAGTCCCAGCCAATGAGGCCAGGGTTGCGAATGGCAAGACAAGCAGAACTGTGAAGCTCAAACGCCTCTTCCAGTCCTCGAACAACACCAACATACACCCTAACGTACCCTAACCGTCTAACCCACCGGCCTTCGTCGGTCAACCGATGACAAGGCCTGGCCAGGAGCAAAAGTGTTGCCTTTGGAGTACTCCCGCGTGGTGTAAGGAGGCGGGGGGCTTGGGGTTCATCGTCAGACTTACACACTGAACACGGAGCGGAAGATGCGAGGCTTCTCAGTTTATCGAGACTCTCCGCGAAACCGGCACATGCAGCACACAAGCCTGAAGGGAGCCTCCGATACCACACATCATACAACACAGAAAGCATAGGCACAACACAACATGGAGCACTGCGCATCCAGAACCCTAAACCCTAAACACTAAACCCTGAAAAGCTCCGGGCCTTGTTCGGCTCCGACGGGTCCGGGGGCTCCACCGGCTCCTTTCAAGCTTGGTGAACCCCCCTTGGTTTCCCAAAAAACAGATGATAACAATCCTACAAATAATAATGGTAACAATGATAATCACAAAAATAAGTGTTATTGGTCATACTTTTCTGAATACGAATAATACTACGAATATTGATCAGAATACTGATAGTAATGATGTTGGCAATAGAGCTAATCTTTAAACAGACGCTTCCAAGCGCCATCGTCCTGGTCCCAGTCTTCCAGGGACAGGGAAAGCATGGAGGAGGTGGTGCCTGGCAGAGGAACCTGAACCTTTTCTTAGTGGTGGATTCTATTGAATTCTATACCATAAACTGAGATAAGAGGGATTATAGTACCCCCCTACTATTTCAGCCAAGTCACTCTCAGCCCCACAAAGCTTTCGAGAACAATGTTGCGAGCAGCAACAAGCAAAGCTTTTCAAAGCTCGAGGTCAGGTAGTTAAGTTCTTCGGTGGCGAATCATGCATTATTTTCTGAACGGAAATATGGGTTCCCACAGAGTCATGTATAGTACCCCTTTTACAATCCTGATAAAGGACTGGTAGGATAAGGGGGAACATCCCAAGCTATACAACAATAAATCATGTACAACCTTGATTGTGAAATGAGGAACCTATGGAAACGTTGGAACTTATGGAGCAGCTGGAACTTCTGGAACGCAGCCGCTTTCCAGGGTGCAAATAATCGGGGACTGGGACAAAGTGGGCGGACGTTGCAACTCAGGCCCTCGACCCATTCCCCAACTTTCCCATTTCTGAACCCTCGAAGCCTTACAGAAAGCAAAGAGTCACGAGCGCCTGCGAGACTTGAGTCATTGCACGTCGTGGCAGAGGACCTTGGGTTTCAAAGTGAAGCTTTGGATTCAGGGTTGAGAGCTTAGGGGTCCAGGGTTGAGGTATTGGGGCTCGAGGGTTTCGGATGGTTTTCGGTGGCTCCGGCCGAGGGCAAACGTCTGCTTGTCCGAGCGGCTGCTCGAAGCCCTCCTGGCGAATGGGTTCAGGCTGAGCGACACTGAAGGACACCATGGCTCCTTATGGCTCCTTCTTCGGGGTACCTTCGTTCTGCCTTGTGTACACTCAACCTAGACAGTTCCAGGATGCAGCACCTACTGAAGCTGCGGTAGATGACTACAAGCACGAACGCTGGAAGGGGTGGGGGTCCAGGCTTTTATGGCTTTTTCTATGAAAGCTGGAAGAAGCCAAGTGGTAGTACTGCAAGGGGTGCGAATTGCAGCGCCGGCAGCCTCGGAATACTCAAGGCATATTTCGATTTACAGCCTATCCAGCCTGTATTTCCAGCACTTGCATCCTTGCTGCTAGTTACCGTATTTGCCGCCTCTCAAAGCTCAGACAATGACGGATTTTTAACAGTATTCAACTCAGAAATGCTGCCATTTACACAGTATTTGTCGCATGGTGAACCAACCAACAGACCAAAAACACAAAACGAAAAACAACATAAAACAACAAAAACGAAAAATCACTTCAATCCGGGTTCGGCCTTCCCTCTCACTGCGCTAGGTGCGTGCGCGGGCTGCTGCAGCGGCGTGGTGGCGTCAAGAGTCCTTAGCCGCTCAGCTACGAGACAGCTGCTCTGGCCTGTTCAAAGTGTGCGCCTTGCTTGCGTCCACATGCGTCCATGTAGCCGTGCACCCGAAACCCATTCACAACCAACACCTTCTGGGGTCCCGACCAACCTTTGCTTTCGGCGCTGCTCTCAAAGGCACTGAGGTTCGAAAGCTCGGTGAGGGCCTTCTTGGCAGGACTATCAGGAGGTTCTGGCTTTAGGGATTTGGCAGGTTTAGGGTTGAAAGGACAACCGGTGGAGATGGGTGGGCGGATGTGGAGAGTTTAGACAACAAAGCAAAGGCGCCTCCGTCAGCGTGAAGTGCGGATCCATGTCGGTCGACTTGCCGAAGCCGGCAACGTGGGCCACTACTTGAGGGGCAGTGCGGGGCTCTGTTAAGGGCTTCTAGGATTCACGTGCTGTCTCGAGTCAGGATCGATCTGACTTGCGTCACGTGACTTGCGTCACGCGAGTGACTTGCAACCCCTTTTTGAGGGTTTCAAGCGCTGCAGAGGCGAGGCCGACAGGGTCGGGCTGCATGCAAGGCTAGATACCTGGCGCAGCCAACATCTATCTGGCCTCGAGCAAAGTGCCGCAGAGAGCACTGGCAAACTTCAGACACAGATCCACCTCATAGTATCTCATAGTTGTTAAAGGGCATCTGCCAAGCCTGGAACTGCTCTTGGACTCTGGGACCCCAGCAACCAGACAGTCCCGCAGGTCTCGGAAGTCTTTGTTGAGGGCCTGCTGGCCCTCGGAGTGGACACACAAGGACAACGCAAAAACCTGTCATTCCTTTGCCGACCATTTGCACACCTATGTTCCAACAACCCCGCCGATGCTTAACTTAAAGCAGGCTCGCGGCCAGCTGGACAGCATGCTGCAGAGTGAGGCGGCAAATCACCTCGCACTTTTCGCAGCTCCAAGCAAACTGGCGTGTCCCAGCGAGGAACACGACGATTACATTGGAATAATTGGAAACAACCAAATGCATGAAACTGTTTGAGGAACATGCACCTCGCTGGCACGATCGAAGGCGGCAAGCCTCCTGAGATCACATGTGATGCGGGTTGAGCGATTGAGTTGGCAGAGGCTTGGGGGGGCATTTTGGATTGGGGTCCGTTCAGTCTAGCTGACACAGTAAATTCACTGCCCATCACTGCCCCATAGCCGCTTGAAACCCCCCTGTAAACCGTCTACAGCTCGGTTACAATGACTCGGAAGCTAGCAGCTAGCACGAAGAACATGCATGAAGCAACACCTTCTACGTCGCGACCGAAAAGGATGAACTACATCGAAGTTCCACATCTTCGGCACCCTTCCACATCCACACTCAGAACTGAAACTTGAGACGTTCCAGTGGCGCATACTCTCGGCTCTCTCCCCCTCCCCCTTATGCCGTTAAACTCAACTTTCGCCCCGCTCCCCAACCTGCTGGGCCCCTTGCCGCATCTCCTCCAGCAGAGAGCTTTTGTCAGCCCACCTGGGCACAAACACTCGCAGAAACCACCACAGGGTGCATTTCATGGCTGAAAAGTGTCTTTTTTCTTCACTCTCAAGTTCAGCGCATTGCACGTGCTGCGCACAAAAAACTTCCACAGAACCTCAACCTGTGAGTTGGCTCTTGAGTCCCCTTGTAAAAATAGACGGACTTTGCCTCTCAGCTCTCTTCCCGACTGGAGTCCCTTTGATGGACCGACATCATCAGCTTCGCTCCGTGCTTGCAACTCTGACTAAAACCAAAGGCGGAGCCACCAGAGAACGATGGCAAGGAAGCGCAGCGAAAGGAGGCCACAGGAGGCCAGGAACCAGTTTTCCCGAGATTTTTGCCCTGGCGAGTCCCCCATTTTCCGCAGAGGGATCGTTCAGGGGCCGCAAGCCATCGCTCGGCTACATGTCGTCGTGGCAGTAAGAACGGCGTTCCAGAAGCTCCGGTGCAATGCCTCAACCCATTGGACATCAGGTGTGCCATAAGCCATAAGTGTAAATCTTGCTGCCGCGAGCCAAGTGCTGTCAAGTTCAAGCGTGGCTCGCGAAGCCTTGATGCCACTGAAAACATACTCTCGTCGGGGCAGTAGGGGCCGTGCAGCTTCTTCAGCAACTCGGCTTTCTCATTGAGGTGAACCTCCGTTCGTTGGAGAGGAACCAGAGAAGACTGGAGCCTTAAATTGTCCCAAGCCAGGGCTTTTATTTCAAGGTAGGAACTTCAGGCTTCAGGATGATCCGAAACCGCTCAAGCCCTTTGAAGCCCCTCCCCCAACTCGGAAGCTTTCAGCCCAAAAAAGAGCCCAAAGCCACGAACCCAAAATTCAAAATTCACTCTTCTGGGAGCCGGGTGTCGGGCCAAGGATGCCAGACGCAATGTCAGTGGAAGCTGGCAAATGGACGTAGGGGGCGGTTTGAAGGGTGGAGTTTGAGAGAGTTTGAGATTTGGGGTTCGAGTGCAGGGGTTGGTTTGGAGTTGATGTTGAATTTGCGGATCAGGGGTGCAGTGAGCTCCTGCCCGTAGCCTGCAAACCTCGCTACACTGCAGGTACTCGAGCTGGGGAGCGGACATCTGCGAAGACCTCCTCGAACATGGAAGTCAAATCTTCCTTCGCAGCAGATGGCAGTTGATGGAGCTGTTGTGGCTAGTCCAGTGGATTGCACCGAAGATCCGCTCCTCGTCGATTCTGAAGTCTGCGTGCCCCAGCATGCCGCTCAGCGATGAAATCAAAGACTTCTGCACCTGAAGCAAGCTCGCAAGATCAAAGTGACTGCACACGGGCCACCCACCGAAAAGAGGAGGATAACTTTTTCCTCCCTAAAACTCTGACGACATGTTCCAACATGGTCTCCAACCAGGCGCCTTGGGAGCCTCCTCGTTGCGGAGGGCTGGCGGAGGGATGGGTGCGCCTGCCTTCTCTCGCTGTTCTCTGTCGGAGGCGACTATGGGATTTTGGTGCATGATTGGGGTTTAGCTGAAGGGTGGTGCTTTCACGCCTACTGAAGGATTAGTCTCGGAGGAGTTCAAAGAAATTCTGATGGCTCAACGCTGCCGACGCCTTCACCAAGAGCACATCGTGGGAGACCTCAGCCCGAATCGGCATGGCAGCTCACGACCTACAACAACACAAGGAGTCTCTGATCACCGTTTCCATCCGTTTCCACGACGGCTTGCAGAGCGGAGGTTGAGCATCTTTCATGATCATAAGGTCCTAGCATTTTGGCTTCAGGCTGGGTGGGGCCTGCAAGAACCAAAGCTCGTGGATGCTGAGCTGGTTACGTGGTCAGCTGCTTCCCGCAGGGCAGTTTGATTTTCCTGCGGGATTAAGCAGAAGCAAAGAGGCTGAGGGACGACATCAGCAGTCTCTGCAAGCATGCCATGCCGGAACGTTCGCCCTCTTAACTCAAGGCTTCTGACTAATCCTCGAGTCAGCACTACATCAGCCTCCATCAGAACCCGGGATTTCCCAAAATCACCCAAGACTTGGTGCAAGAATTGCGCAGTCCTCCTTAGCAAGGATGGTCATCGCATAATGGTTCAAGTCCGGCCTGATCTCTTTTTGGCGCGTCGGATAAATAGATCTCAACCCCATACAGCATCTTCTAGAGCCCTAGAGCCCTGAACATGAGGGTTCAGAGCAGAGAGCAGCAGCCGGAGCGGAGCGGCCGGAGCAGAGCGGCCAATCTTGCACTGTGCTCCAGGCCGGACGATCGGCACCTCAATGGTGATCGCCTCAGGATCGACTCAAAAGCCGAACTACCCCAAGGATCTCGTATGGACTTGACCACTCAAGACACCATGGGCGGTTTGCCGCAAGTCCAGCGCCTCTTGTGTCAATGTGGCAAGAGAATTCCCCGGAATGTACCCGACATGCCCTCACACCGTCTTGGAACTGGATGTTCTGGTACGAGAGGTGATGAGAGGCGGCCAAAGTAGAGGTCTGAGTTCTGAGGCTTCATGGGTCCAAAACAATCCGCATCCCGAACTCAACAGGCTTCCCCACCGAAGCCCCGAAGCCAAGCCTCGATCCAAAGCAGCATCGCCAGCAGCATGCGCTGCTCGGGCATCTCCCTCACAAGAGGAGAGCTACTGTTCGAGAGCAGGGATCAAGCTGGCTCCGGGCTTGGGCTTCACGCAGACCCATAAACCGAAACATGCGATGCCGGCGCTTGCACCGACCTTAAAGCCTGTTAGCCGCTGCTTGAGAAACTTGAGGCTCAGGGTGACGCCCTCGGGTGTAACTGAAGAACCTACAGCCTGAGTTTTTGTTCACGACGCCGAGTTGGCGAGTTTCAGCAGGCGCTTGGCTTTTGAGCCTCATAGGCACCATCGAGGACCTGCCTGGACTCCGCAAAATACTCGGACTCTCAGAAGCCTGTGGAGGCCCTTGGAAATGGGGAAAGCCCCGAAGTGGAGGGGCATTCAAGGCCGCGCAGGCAGTGGATTGCGCGGCTTGGGCCGGCCCGACTGCCGAGGTGGCGTGCGCAAGCGTTTGCGTTTCGTGAGATGGTTGCTCAACACTACAGTCATTACCGCCGCAGAGATGCGAATGTCCCCGCAGTTAAACTGACAAGATCGGACACCCCATCTGGTCTGGTAAATGCAAGTTCTCGGAACAGCAGTCGAAGTCTTTTCTCGGCCAGGGATATCACGGGCTTCGGGCGAAGATTCGGAGGCTATCCGCATCGCAAGCCCAATCGCGGAAAGCTGCAGTCCTGAAGCCTGCTTTGTCTTCTCCCCTCGCCCAAAACTTGAGCCAACTAAGCTCCGTGCCGTGCGATCCAAAGCTTTATCACCTGGCCACTGTTGGTTATGGTACACGGCTTAGGCTTCAGGTACCTTGAGTCTCAGATGGCTCCAGAAATCAGCGATTTGCCTACATAGTCTTCGCCACATGCGGCCTCTAGCAAATCCTCGCTCGGGAAGGGCTGCTGGTCGGAGAGCCTTGTCCAGGCCGCAACCCCAACAACCCCTGAGGTTCTAGCCTTACAAGAACACTGTCCCAAAGGAAACTGCGACTGAAAGAATCACATGCCCCACAGTACGAGGACCCACCCCACACGAATGGCACCATCATTTCCTGAGGTTCAGTCTCTTGCTTCACGTTGCTTCCGACGCGGCTGCGAATCTTCTGCCTGTGAACAAGCGCAGAAGATTAGAGACCTAGACCGCCGACACCCAAGACCCCGAACGAAGAACCCTGTAAGCCCTAATCCGGAACCCGCAAGCCCATTGAGAGCATTAAGCAGCGCTCCTACCCCGAATCCGACCCCGAATATTGACAACCCCACCCACGAAAACATGCCCAAACCAAAAAAAACACAATGTACATAAATACATGCACCTAGAAAGTAACCGATGTTCTCATATTGGGGCCTCTAAAAACATATGAAAAGGCGGATGGGGCTGAAGAGCCCTTCAACCCCCAAAGCCAGACTTTCACGACCCAACCAAGCGCGGCCAAAAAGCACGAGCCGCTGGGCCGCCACGGCCTCCTTGGAGTTGGAGGCCCACTCACCTCGCTCAGAACGTTTTGGGGTGTCTTTTTTGGGGCGGATTCTCTGAGTCGGGGGGTTGGGGTTGGGGTCTTAAAATCTATTTAAATCTTGAAAAGTTTAGGGAGCTGAGGGCTTAGGTTTCAGGGGTTGTCGAGGGATCGGGAAAGTCGTTTGTCGAGCCAGGGGGTTCAGAGAGGAAGCTTCTGGCATGCAAGGCAACTTCGACTTCTGTTCTGGGAAGAGCCTCGTTGCGACGCGAGCTTTAGTGCATCTTCAGGCAGCGGAAGGGCTGTGAGCTGCCCATTGCTCCTCTGCGGCCCTGCTTTTGCTTTCTTGCATTAACCTCCAAAGTTGTTCTGAAGTGAGGGTTGACCAAAGAATGATGGACCTTCGCTCAACCAAAAGAAAGGTCCATAGTGAAATCCCAAACCGGTTCAACTCGGGTCCAGGCTCCAGTCCTCCTCCGGCACCCAGTTTTCTTTGGACGCCTCCTTCTCCTGCCATCTTCCCCGCAACCCTTGAACCAGAAAACTTAAGGGTTCAGCATTTAGGATTTGGTGTAGGATCGAAAGCTCAAGCCAGAACAAACTCGGAGATGATGGGCACGGAAGCCTCCTTGGACTCGTACATATGCGCGCCCCAGCCCTCTTCGTCGTCGTCCTCCTGCGCCTGCCGAAGATGTACGAGCAGCATGTTGTTTTGCTGCAGCTTGACCCAGGGTCTCTTCATCCCAGCATCAGCCCTTCGTGAGTGGGACGTGCTGCTGTCCAAGGTGATGTGCTAGGACTAGGATGTTTTGATTTATCCAAGTTCCAAGGCCGAAAACCTACATGCCACGACGGACCCATCCCCTGTCTGTTAAAGACGTCCGGCCATAAGCCTGCTCGTCCTCTTCTTTCTTCTTGGTCCAATTCCTTGGAAAGCAACGTCTCGCAGCGGAGGATTGGCTCGACTAGGCGCTTGGCGGGCATGTCCCTCATCCCCGTGGCTCAAGCTCCTTGTCCAAGGTTCGGGCAAGGAAAGAAAATTTCAGCATGCAAGGGGCCCCTCCGAATCCTGAGCCTCTCTCAAGTAGCCCTGAAAGTGTGAGGGTCGTTTGGGGTTTCCCGTGTTCGCGCCCAGGGAGGCTGGGAGCGAAAAGAACTGCAGCTTAGCGCAGGACTCCTTGTGAAAGTCGGCGGCCGCTTTCTGGGGACGGCTTCAGCTTGAGTTTCATGTTTGACCGTGGGCCATGGGGGAACTTCTTGGGACGAGCGGGTGTTTGGCTGGTGTGGTGGTGGTTCTATAGTCTGAAGACAGGGCCTTGGCACTCTCACCCAACTCTAAACACAAGTGGTTCCACATGGCCCCACGCTTGCAGGACCCGTCACAGTCCTACCGAGCTTTTGCTACGAGTTTACAGATGCCACGAAAACTCAGCTTCGAATACCATGCTGTTCCCTCGTGTGGTTGAGTTCTCCTATCCGCTGTTCAGAACAGGACAATTTAACCCTGGAGTCGCAAGCTTCTTAGCTTCTTCCGAAAGATGGACTGGGGGAGCAGGATCCATACGACAATCCGGAGAAAGCAGCTCTAAGTCTACCAGCTCTTACATGCGGAACATACGAAGAGCACATATATATATATATATGTATATATATATATGTATATGTATACGGTATACCATGGTATACCAATTTCAGGCCAAGGCGAACCCACAGAGAAGTCAAGGAGAAATGGAAAAACAAAAGCCCCGGAGTTCTGTTACCCGGTTTCACAATGAACAAAAGCGGTCTAGACACAGGGACTACATGGGCTCGGTGCACACAGTTTTCACCTCCGTTATCTGCCGCAACTGAGCCCGGGGCTACGTTGTTTTCGATCTCTTGTAAGATGTTTGACGGCAGCTTGCTTTGCGAGCCTGCCCGCACACACACACACACACGGCCACAAACCCCCTGATATCTTCCTCCGACGAGATAGCAAGCTTGCAAGAATAGGCCCGTGTCCACAAGTATCTCACTGAATTCGGTTGCCAGACAGAAGTGCACCCACTTGCAATCATGGAAACGAGCCGCCTTTCCACACAAACGCCCAATCGTCGTCCGAATCCTCCTGCAGTTGGCCAGTGCCTCTTCGCCCGATCCAAGGACTTTGACTAGGAAACTCTGTGTTGGCGACTTCTCTAGTCCTTGTCGTCCGCAGTCTCCCCGGCAGGCCCGGTAGGCTCCTGTGCTCACTGTTCTAGCGGCAACCCGTGATGCTTAGACCTTGAAGCGATCACAAAGTGTCTTGTAGCGATTCATGCTGGCAACACTTCTTGCAACTCAACAATGGTGCTTCGGCGATGCAGAAAAAGCGAAGCACTGATGAACTTGCCGTGACAACAGGCGCCAGCTAACAGCACATCAGTCACATGGTTGTTACATTGAAGCCACGGTCAATGGAAGGTCCAGGCTGTCGGCCACCGGGAGGTGTATGGGCGCCTCGGCGAAATGTTCGAAGTTCGCTTCGCGGTTGCTTTGTGGGATCCATTGTGGAACTCCGGCCTGGAGTTCTCTCTCCAGCCGCTGCCACACATCACCTCACACACCGGGGATGAGCATCTCGGGTTTCATTCAACTAAACGAGAGGATGAGAGCAGTCTACAGGACGCACGCTAAAGAAGCCAATGGAATGCTAAACTGGATCTCTTCCGGGTGACCCCCCTCGTCGTGATCGCCAGTCAAGTCGACTCCGGCGCCTCCCGGGACAAGTGCGCTCGCTCTCTGAGCACAAAAAAGCAAGGAGGCCAGCTGACGTTTCGTTGGTTGCTTCCGCAGGGACCCAGCCCAAAGGACTTCCACGAGATCCCCAGCGGAGTCTTAGGGCGTGCCTTGAATGGCCTTGGGATGTAGGGCTACAGGGTTCCCTGGCAGTCCCTCAAGCTCCTAAAAAAGGTTTCTGGAGGAGTTCCGGGGTCCAAGCGCGAGCAGCGTTGACCACCTGCATCCTAGAATTGCAGCGGGGAGTTTCGAACTGCAGTGGCCACCTGGTCTGCGTCTGGAAGCGAAAAGCAGAATCTCACGAAGCTTCGAGAAGTTCATTCCGTGCTGGGAGAAAGAGACAGAAAGAGAGGATGGTGAGAGAGAGAGAGAGAAGGAGAAAGAAAGAAAAAAGGAGAGAGAGAGAGAGAGTGGGCGCGACTTACTACAACGGTGCAACGAGTGTGATCAGTGCACCGCACCAGGCCTGGCTGTGTCTTCACCGGCACCTGCCGGCGCGACATCAGTTCTTATGCCTGAATGCTGCCAAACTACAGAACTACATCCTGCATGGAAATGTGACAAAGGATACATGGAATTCAAGGAGTCATGAGGACGTCGTCACCTTTGGGTCGAATCCAGCCTTCCGAAAATCGACACTCGGGCCATTCGGCTCAAGCTTACAAGGCCTAATCACGAGGGAGATCTCACTGCAGAATCTTTAGAAATATGCACGCCTCTTCAATGACATGCGCTTGAACCCTCATGCCTTCATGAGGCACATGGTGTTGCGGTGACAGCCGCGCTGTGTGTCATGTCAAGCAAAGGGCTGCGAGAAGCCTGAGCCGACTTGGGCACCAGGTTGGAGACTGGAATGTCATCCTCGTCCTCCACGATATCGCTGCTTCCCGATTTCCCCAATCCCGGAAGCCCAAGTGATCCCATCTTCACAACACGGCAACATTCCTCCGCGTCAAAGGCCGGCAGCCCCAGGTCGATGTTCGTCCCGGCAGCCTCCTTGCAATGCTTATCGCTTGGGACTCACCAATTCGAGCGCACTCCAGCGCCTGGGCATGAGGTGTGAAAGATTTGTTCGCCTAGGTGTACACCACGCCCACACTCCTCCTCCTCGACTTCAAAGGCTGGAAGCTCCATGTCAATGTCCGGTGCGGCGTCCTAAAAGAAACCGGGGAGCCAAAGAACCAAAATACTCCAAGAACTCACTTGGCTTCTCTTGGCTTCTTTTGCCTTCTTCAAGTGCAGGAGCCGAACATGCCCCGAAGCCCGATGGGCCCGATCCTAAGCACCTCAAACCCTAATTTCAACCCTTCAGCATCACTACCATCCTTTGGACGAGACGCATGGCTACTGGCAGCGGCTCTTTTGCTGGAGCCCTCCTCCTTCAGAACGTGGCAAGGTGTTCAAGTCGGGTGTGGGACTCGGGGATGTGACCCACCTCCCCACCTAAGAATCTGAATGGAACAAACACATCGGGGAGCCTTCTTGGGATTACCAGGCTTATCTGAGATTATCTGGGCCGACCCGACCTTATCTGAGTTTCTCCCTCCATTTCCTTATGTGTCGGCTGGCGCCCGCTGGTGCCGTGTTTCCCCAAAAGCGGTCCACTGCATTTCAAGTCTCCATTGGGGAGGATTCTTTAGGTTTGTCGATGTCATGAATCACTCATTGCATTGAGCGCCTTCATCTCTCAGCGTAGCAATGAACTCAACCAGAAACCCTGAATCCTCGACCCCCTGCTGCATGCTTGCGCTTGGGAGTGTCTTGAAACTTGGGCCCGACCGGCTAGACTTGCAGGGTAGCGAAGCCCTACACCCTGCACCCCATCCACGGCATTCCGCAACGGCGGACCTCGCGCTTGCGGCCGCACTTGCGGCAGAACCGCGAGTCACCCAAGTACACGTTGCCGCAGCCCGGGCAGGTGTCGCTCATCCCGGCCTTCGGCAGTTGTTGGGGGTTGTACCAGACCTTGGCTGTAGCCTTTCATTAGGGCTCGAGCTGTTCAGGTCGAGGCACTGGGCATTTAAGTCTTCGGGATGGACAGCTTCCAGGGCTCAGAGTTTCACTGCGCAGCGATCTGAACTTGCTTTCTCTACGGTTATGAAAGTCCTGGAAGAGCTACAAGAATAAGACCTGAAACTTGGGTAATTGCATGTGCAACTTACACGCTGCAGCGGAGCCATGTCAATGTGAAGCTCGGGCCGAAGGATAATCTCAAAGCCATGTACGAACCCCAACCGATCCTGAAGACCCCATGTCCTTCATACCAAACCCGCCAGATGACCGAGAGTATCTGCACGGAACTAGGGATGATATCTAGATGGATACTCAGCACACGAAGATGGCTCCAAGGACTTCAAGCAGTGCCCCGAAAAAATCGCGAAGTGCAGTGCAAGAGTGTCCAAACTGGAATTGTGCTTCGTGTTCCGGGTTAAGTTCCTGAGCGACTTCTACGCCGAAACGAATTATTCAAAGCATGACGAAATCCGAGAACCAGAAGCCCTGCACTAAGTCATCGCGTCCTCCGCATCGTCCGGGTCTTCCGACTGCTCCTCCTCCTCCTCTTCCGCCGGGCGTGCCCGCTTCTGAGGGCTTGCCTGGCGACTTGGGCTTTCCTCTCTACATCCTACTACAATCCTAAGTTTCAGACAATACTTTAACAAGACTCCATGCCTACATCCCTGGCAGACAGCTTCCGAACAGGCACAACCGGAGTGCTGAACTTCCAGAATCTCGAATCCCGCCTTTGGCCCGGGTTTGGCCTTAACCGTGGGTTTCGCCTTGACTTTGGCCTTCGCCCGCCTCAGTGAGAACTGTGAGCCTCTTTCCGAATCTGGCTCTTTGGGCTTCAGGACGCTTCTTGGTGGGAAGCCTAACAGGATACTTTTTGAGCTCGGCCCCTTTCACTGCATCAGCAGTGCGAATCAGCAAGTAGTCTAAGTAGACGCTGTGCTTGAAGGAGCTCGCAGTGTAGGATGCTTGAGGCAGAACACACCAAACTATCCGAACGAGTCGGACCACGGAGACAACTAAATTCTTGAAGCCCCTTCCTTCATCTCCCTACACCCACCCCCCCCCCCCCAACTCCCAAAACCTTCCAATCGTGCACACAAGTACACGTAACTCGGGCAGCCGACTTTTTCGGCGCCATGCAGATGGGGCCACTTAAAGTGTTTTCGGGCTTGTTGAAGGCTTGCTGAGGGATTAGGGCCGACGGAGGTGAGAGCTCCGGAGGTCCGAGGGTTGTAAGGTTAAAGTTTAAGCCGCTTAGGGCTTCGGAATGCTTAGGGTCCACTATGGTTGGTATTCTGTTGTTGGTGCAGGGATGTATATGATGGTGCACGGACATCTGCAGGGTTTGGGGGCCAAATGCCGGCCTGCGAAGTGCTGTGCTACTGGTGAGGCCAGGCGCGATCTGTGAAGTCTGCGGAGAATCTTGCACCGGAAGAGGCACCGGAATGTCTAGTTGAAAGCTTTGCACGCTGGGATACAGTACAGGCCAGGCTGCCGTCTCCACATGTTCGGATTCAGCTAAGCCGGGCTGCAGGAAGAGCGGGCGTGGTTCAGCACAACGTGGCGACCTCTCTTTACTTGTACTTACTCTACTCAAACCATCTCAAGCCCTTTGCCTCCGGAATCTCATGCCTTTGTACAAGGAACCCAAGGAAGAAGTTGTGGAAATTCTCGAGCAGTTGGCGCGGATCCCGTGGCCATACCAGCTAGACCAGGGCAGTCGTGGGGAGTGACCGGATCCACCAAACGCAAGGACGGCGGGTTCGATGGCTTCTGCACCTGGCCAGAAAAACCCAGAAAAGCCCTCTCCGATAGTCTGCGAGTCGTGGCATGCCCGGACACCCTGGGCTTCACAACACGTGCTGCGCTGACTTCGACCCAGCGCCGTCGTCGATCTTCTTCCTAGGACTGCAGCTCTGGATTCACAGGACTTGCAAGAGCACGGGAGCACGCACAAGCACACGGCTCTAGACTCCATCGATCTCTATTGGGCATATGCGTAAGAGCCATACTCGCTTGGACTTCTGCAGCACCTCTTCAAGAGCAGGACCACCCATGACTTTTCAGTTCAAAATTTGGGAACAAGCTTGCATCCGTGGCCTTGCTAGACACACTCACCTGAGCAGGAAGTCCCAAGCGTGGTTCGTCCTAAGCACAGGGAAAACAGAATTGCGCGGCTCGACATGCAACTGCAGGCGGTTCCCAAATGTTTCTGTATCAGTCCAGGGCTTGCCCCAATGAGATGCATGACAGGTGCTGCTAAGCGCTGCGTCACGCTGCTCAGACGCCGGCAGGCTGTTTCACCCGAACTTCGGCCTGTCATGGCAGCACAATGCAGCCCACATCTAGGGTGGGATATCCTGTATCTCGCACAGCCTGGAGCTTCCCGGAGAAGCCCAGGAAGATGAGGGTTGCGGGCCCTCGAACACCACTCAGCACCGCCTAGGCATCACCATGCATCGCCAGGCTTGGGGCACACTTTATCAAAAGAACTTAGGCCACACTGAGGTCACCTTGGATTCCCTTGCGGCTTCTTTCTAAGAAGCCCTTGTCCCAGCCTTCGCGGGATAGTACTCCCAGATCTTTTCTCCTCGGCCAGCTAGAGTGGCACAAGCTTTAGAGGTGTCAGACTCAGACTTGCAATGACTGAACTCACGCCATCTCATGCCTTGTTCTAACGAGCCCTGGAGATCTGCCACAAGTCAAGGGCCACGCCGTTGATGGAGATCAGCTGATCCCCAGCGACGACCCCAGCACGGGCGGCTGGCCCGTCCTGCGTCTCTTTGATTCTCCCATATGTTCTTTACCATTGTATCTTTTTACCATACCATCCCCGGAGCGGGATCGACTCGGATACCCCTCAGATGGTCCCCGCGGACTGCCGTCACCATCAGACGCCCTTGACCTAGGCATCGGAGCTTTCCAAAGCTTTCGGGCACTACTCGCATCTGCTCGTACCCTGGGATGAAAATCTAATCCCCTCAGAAGTTCGTACAGATTGTGCCCTTGATCATTCTTGACGACTGTCTTGGCTTCGGACAGGTCCGATGCAAGCCCAGAACATCCTGACTCACAGAGTTCGCGGGGCTTGGGGTCACGCCTATCAAAAAACCAAGGTAACCGGCCTTGGAGGGCACTTCCCCCATCTGGTATTGCACCTAAGCTGCCGGAAGATGAAGGTCAAGCGTTGTCATGGGGCCCTTTGGGGCCCATTGGGGCACATTGGGGGCTCAGGGCAGCTTCAGGAGTCAGAACACTGGGCCGCAGGCAAGCCTGCCAATTACTCCCGTCACCCTGGCACAGAAGAGGAGTGGCTCCAAAGGCTGAGCAGATCCCTCTGAGCGACAGATGGCTGCGTACTGGTGAGATGAACAGGGCCTCTTCCGTTCCATCCACTCTTCCTCCTCATGTTGAGCCTCAGGGAACATCGTCCCATGTTTTCCTGGACCCCCCCTCATGCCGAGCCCCTGCCGGTCAAAGCCGTTCGGCACTGGGCTGCCGAGCTTCCGGTTTGGCACCGGCAGGCGAAACAGGCAGAATGGGCCCAGTCCTTAAAACAGTTTGTAGCACCATTGCTGTGCGTCATGCTGCATCGGCTCTGAAGATAGGGGCGCATCGTCCCCTGCAAGCTGCACGTCCACAAAGTCTGCCCCACTCAGAAAGATCCCTCCAAGATCCCTCCAAGATCCCTCCAAGATCCCTCCAAGATCCATCCTCTCCTCCCTATCCACGCTACCCCAAACATCCCAGAATATCGTTGGCTTCATTCGCTTCGCTGGGCCAGCGGCAGCTGCTTGGACGGCCCAGACTGGTCGCCAGGCGGGGGGCGCCGGGGTCGCTGCCACTCCTGTTGGGTGCTTCAATACATTTTGGGTTTTGGAGATCATAGAAATGGCTTAAGGCAGGAAAGCGTGATCATCCGAGAGGCTCTTTGGGTTCTCAGATCTGCAGTGCCAAGGGCTCGATGCGGAACTTGACTTGGGTCGTTAATTGGAGCGCTTATGACTCAGCTCCTGACGGAGCTTGGAATGCTCATCATGCCGCATGATCCGGCCTGGTCGTCGTCCGGCACAAAGAGAAGGTCCGCTTCCTCGATCTCCTCCGAAAGCTTCAGCTCGCAAGGC